TGTCTACAAGAGATCTCTTTTAGCATAAGACTTTCCATTGTACCACATTTTTTTCTGTACTTTTTTCATATTTTTATATTTATGACGTACAATAAAGTGTTAATCTATCTATCTAATTATCTATCTAAACTGGATTTGTTTGGATAGTATTTCCCATCAAGTTCATTTCGAATTCACTGCTGATTCAAGAATGAGCCAAATTACAAGCATTCTGGGCAGGTTTGGTACCGCATTGCCGAGACTTATTTTTATTTATAACATAAAAATACAATTTAATAGAATAGCGTTGACGAGACACAACACCCTTATCAACGCTTGCCAACGACTGACGATAAAACGATTGTTCACGAAAATATTTGGAGTTTGAACGAACTCCTTTACTTGATTAATGCTTGTTTGTTCTCTTCCCCTTTTTCGACAGAATCCACGTTCGTTTTGTTTTTCTTTGAATATATTTTTATCTAGACATACGAGCAACAAAAATCAATTTTAACCTAACCTGATTAATCAATCACAAAATATAATTTTTTTTTTATACGTATGTCACGCGGATACATTGTCAATGTGAACCAATTGTAATGGCATCCGCTGTGGTCCCACATAAATTTAGAAGAAAAAAAAAATTTCAACTATAAGGGTGCTAAAATAATTAATAATATTTTAATGGAACTAATTAGACGAATCCACTCAAATGGCTAGAAAGTAACTTAACTCATAGTGTTTTAATTTTACGTCGCAATATGGCTTAGCACTGCCTTCAGAATGAGGAATTATTTCGTTCGGCTAGTTGTTTGAAGTCGGCTTTTACATTTTATTAAAATTTAATTTTTGTTTAGCCATGTTTTAGTCTAGCAAGCGTAATTTAAAGCATAACGTTGCGCGTTTCGTAAAAATAACCGTCACCACATTTCATCATCGAGCCAGGGAATATGTTGAAAAGGTCTTATGATCTCCCCTAGATAGTGATATAATCATATCGTATAATATATCAGATGTAAAATGTACTGACCTCTAACTAGGTGAAAAGTTTCAAGTGCTATACGTGGCGATTATGGTAAATAATCAAGAAATAATTAATCACCAGTACAATGGGAGATGTAATGTAAAGCGATGGACTGTGACTGTGCTGGTGATGAAGATTAACAATAAATATTATAGTAAAATATATGGACATTTATACCGAACTAATTACACCTTTGTTGTTTTTGTATATTGATCATTTCTAAATAGGTACATGTTTAGAATTTCATCATTTAAATCATCGTCAGCCTCTGAACTCATGTACGTTTCTTCTTTCATTATAAAAATAAATATTGGTACTATCATTTTCTAAGTTTCGTTTCATTCCGGTATAACTAAATGAAACACTTTTAACTGTACACGACAGTGGCATAAATATACTAACAGATATCTGTCGTATAGTAACTTTATGGCAACGATCTACTTTAGGGAGCAGACACAGACTCCTTGGCGCCCGCCAGACTGGCGCCAGAGGGAAACGGCCAAAAGTTATTGATAACTACGCTTGAATCGTTTGTTTCTATCTTCGTTTGGACTGAGGGAGCGGTACAGAAATGGAGAAATATTTTTAGTTAAATACTGTCCTAGTTTAAAAAGCTTTTGAATAGAAGACATAATTTCTGACAGATTTCGCAATGAGCAATTATATGACAAAGTAATTAAAACTATTGCAAAGACTACATAATTAGATTCAGTTCTATGAATATCGTTGAAGATAATTAGAGTATACATAAGCAGGTGGCAGTAATCTACATCATTTTTGCTACTGTTTATCGTAAGTCAAAAGTCGAACGTAAACTTTCCTAGTAACGTGGCATCTATCGATCGAAAAGTCGTTCAGTAGGTACATTGGACCGTTCACCTTAACTTGATGCTTGCAACCTTGTGAAAAAAAACGGAATTTTAGTGTATTAAAAAAAATTCTAAGTTAAAAAATAAACACAAAATACAAGAACAGTAATTCGAATTAGAAGCAAGATGGCGATATTTAAAGTGTAGCGAAAAGAGTGACATAATAACATAATGGTGACAAACAATCACTTTCAGATAAATGCATTCATTTATTTTAATTTTTATAACCACTGAAGTAAATATATCACTTTGTATTGTAAGTTAAAGTAAAATGTTGAGAATGTAATTTATATAGTATTTTATAAAAAGCACACAATAACTACAAAATGAATGGTTCATTAAATATGAACTTTTCCCCTGCGAAAGAGAAGTATTGTGAAAAATACATTTACGAAATGCATAAATCTAAACTGGCTTTAACTTCCTTCACTCAAGTTTCGTACTTATTTTAACATGGTATGGCTGCAAATGCTACAACATTAATTTGAGTCGTTAAAAGTATACGGAGCCAAACAGGAAGCGAACAGCGGTTGGTAGACAAAGCTCGTTGCTCACCGGATGTGGGTGTATCTAGAAGTTGCGTTTCCAGTTAATGTAGCAAAGGATAATGTTGCTACATATTTTTCTTTTTGTCTTTCATCAATCTAATATGGATGATTAATAATTGAGTTCCTTCTAGTGGAAGAATAAGAGAAATCATCGACTCGTCTTCTGCCTCACTATCATCATCACCAGACTATCACAAGTCCACTGCTAAATATAGGCCTTCCTTAAAGAATGCCACGAAGCACTTTCCTGCGCCATCTGCATCCAGTCTGTGTAACTTCCTACTCACATTACCAATTAATCTACCTCCTCTTATACTTTACTATTTTTGTTGTTATTTGTATCTTCTTATTTAGTTTTGTTTTCCTTCAATATTTCATGTTTTTGTATATTGTTATTTGACTGCCTCGTTGCTCTAGTATTAAGAACGATTGCTAATTATGTGGCCCCCGGGTTCAAACCCCGGATCGGTGTAAAATCCGTTATTGAGTTTTTCTGACAAGAAATTCAAAGTAGTGGCCTGAAATCAGGTAATAAGCGTAGCGGTAGCGGTGTTTCACCCCCGTGTCTGGAAAATTAAGTAAAACCGTTAATATAAATCATAAAGCTTGATCTCTTACCGGTCGTGGCAGATTGCCGGCCAATCGGAATATGAGAGTAACACACACACACACACACACACACACACACACACACACACACACACACACACACACACACACACACACACACACACACACACGCGCATACACTCGTTCACTATAATCCTGTCCTGCGCAAATGGCTCTAGTCTCCGTTCTAGGCAAAATTTTGTCTCGAAGACACCATTTTTGTATCTGTTTATCTTTCCATAGTGTACAATAAACGGCATCGTATTTTATTCTATTGTAAAATTTTGCTAAAGGAAACGTATAAGTGTACTAACCGATAACGATACACTTCATATATTTTTTGCACAATTAAAAGTGTTTATTCTCTTTGTTGTACATCACAAACACACAGTCTCAAATAGAGTAACAGATAGATAGATGGTAAATTAATACTGTTACCCACGGACGCCTTCAACTAACGTCAATTTTGATAAAATACAAATGCGATGTAACCTGTGATGACTCTGAGAAGAAGAGATGTAAACTCTAAGATAAAAAGCCTTGTTACAAATGAAATAGGTCTTCGATTCTTGTTCACCATTCGAAAAAACATAACATAATGGTGCTATTTTACGTAATATTTTAGTGAAAGGAAAATTATTTTAACTTCATGGGTACGTTCTTATGAGTAATTTTTTTTTTCATAATTAATAGAATCATGTTACTTTGCCCATATCTATTATATTAAAGTTGTTAAAAATTAATTTTAAATATTAATTTATAAATTTAATAACTTTAAAAATTGTATCCTTTCCCTGGTTGAGATAATACCATTCGCTCTGTAGCCATAACACATTTTATAGCATGGCTCTTCCACGTAAAGCAAGAACTACGTAGATATAACCAGAGTTAATTGTTTTAAAGTATGACCATCAATCTGCTAGCAAGGAATTGCTGTTTTAAATAATTCTCTCAACTATATTGCCAGTAAAATGGATAGTTTTACGGGCTTTTGATGGTAATGGTATTGTAAGTATTTTAAGGTTGGTATGGATTACTTTACGATAGCCATTATATGGTCTGCAATTTTGAAATAACATACAATACAACTTAAGAAGAGTATGGTATGGTATATATCTTTTGTTGTCATAAAAATCTTTTATAACACGTTACACGCATATAAATGAAATTGAAATGTCTGTCTGTAATATATATATAACTAACCTTTTATTAAGCTCAGGGAGTTATTTGCTTGCTGTTTAGACACGAATAACAATTTTTAAATTTTCATTTTGGCTGTCTGTCCGGACTATGTCTTCGCAAAAAATAAACCGAGTGGAATACCAGAAGTATTCTAGATATTGTTTTTCCGAAAACACCGGCAGTTTTTTGTGCGACATACAAATTGATAAAAAAATGATTTTAATGATTATCTCATAAAATTTAAGAGGTGTAAAAAATATTTGAAAAAACGTTTGCAAAACAAATGTCCTTACAGTTTATCTTCTATCTCTTAAAGTTTTGATGCAAAATCGGCTTTTAATATATTTTTTTTTATTTCGACACTATTTTACAATGAAAGTATGAGCATCGATTTTTAGTTTTTATTTAAAACATCATTCATCATCATTACACCTCTTCACAAGTCCACTGCTGAACATATGTAGGTGTCCCCCAAGGAATGCCACAAAGCACATTTAAATCATTTTCCCATAATGCACATAGCTTTCAAGATATTTAGTAGAAAAAAAACTGAGTTTAAACTGATTTTACGATAGTGTAACTACTTACCAAGGACGGCTATTAAAGATCTGCAGGTTTTTTATTTAATTTCTACTCGGACGAATTCGCGGATAAAAGATACTTATAAAAAAATTATATTATCAATATTATGTGTTGATCAATAGTATATGTATGTTTTAATTTAAAACTTTTTGTTACAAACTTCATGGTAAGGTTAATTCTAACTTATTTTTTTTTTTATTTCAACAGAACTGCCGCAACCAATGCAGTACCCAGAGTGACCGTCTGTATCACGATGCTCCAATGCTCGCTTTTCGTACTTACACTCTTATGCATATCTGTTAAAGGTATTTAACTAATTTCTTTCTTTATCTTCTTCTTCAGTGGTCCATAGAATTTCACTGCTAGGAATTATTGTCTTTTTTAAGAAGAATTTGCCTTGTGCAGTACCAGACGAATAGCGGGCTAGGTAATTCAGGTCTGGAGTAAAGGAGATGGTTACACCGTCATCTGTTGAAAATCTTTCGATTTTCTACCATTTCCCAAAGTCGCCTTTTACGAAGCCCACTGAACGAAAATACTCCCACCACTACATAAGCAAACCTTGTTCTTAGTTAGAAAAGTAAAATATCTTTCTTTTTTGATAAACGTTAAAACAATTTGTATTTTTACGATATTAAATTACGTATTTATATTCGTTTAAATTCGTAAATTACGATTTTTTATGATTTTGTTTTCAGATATCACTGGTAGTTGGGAGGAATGGTGGACATACGATGGAATATCAGGTACATCATTTTTTTTAGTAACATTTTATTCAAACAAAAAATAATAAAAAAACGTATTACTTATAAAAAAAAATCTGAGGGAGAAGAATTACGAATTGTAAAGTAATACCACCTTTCCACCATTGAATAATAAGACCAGCCAGCCAGTCTCCCCTTCGTCGTCTTACATAGAATACACTGAAAGTTCTGCACTCCTAGCCGCTCGTAAACGATTGAATTTAGAGTTTTATATTTTTAAAACTTAAGAAATAAGTTGTTCAAAATATTTTTTTATCACAAGGCGACACAATGACACAAAGGTCGTAGCAAAAATTGAATCAATGCGAAAAGATCTTAGGGTAATGATTTTTTTCATGATTTTGAAAGATTGCACTCTCTCCGCAAGATTGCACCGTTCGTCTTGAAAATGCTTTTAAGAGGTAAGCACCTCATTCGAGCACCGTAAGGCGTGGGTACGCAAAATTTAATTGCGGTAATGTTTTGACGTCAGATACGAGGACATTTGAGTATTAGTATGACCCAAGTTCAAAAAAAATTACATCAACATTTAAAACTTTGTTGCTCTGATTTCACATGAACTTCACCCCAGAACAAACTCGAACAGGCTCGAGTTGATTGGTGCAAAAAAACTGTTTTCAGAGTATGGTTACGAACGTTCAAGGACTGTGTATGATATTGCGAAAGGAAATGAAACATATTCTTACATTCCGGAAAGAAAGCAATAGTCTTCTGTAACTCAAACCAACAAAACTGAGGCAGGCAAGAAGTGTGAGCAAAAAATGATTGCGGTTTTTTCTTTCGGACGGGTCCTGTCTGCACAATCCCACTCGATAAGTTCATCACCATTTGTTTGTCCAGTGCCTGTCCCAGAGGAAAAAAATAAACGAAGAAGTCTCATCCTAGTGCACTATGACAATGCTTCGGTGCATATCGCAAACAAGGCAAAGTAATTTTGGCTTCTGAAAAGGTGCAGCTCTTGACTTATCTTGGACACAGCCCAGATATTGCAACATGCGATTTTTTTATCTTCTTTGGTTAGAATCGAAAGAAATCAGAGATTTTATGAGACGCTTAACATTTAAGGGGCCAGAAGAGGTCGTCATAGCCTTCAACCAGCCCTTGGAAAAACCCTCAGACTAATGGTCCTTATGTTATCAAAAATGGTTTGAACGAATGAAAAATGTTAGAAATGTAATGGAGAATACTTGAAAAAACAGTATATATGTTAGTTTAACACATAAAATGTTTTATTTTCGAGTTGCGTAAAACTTTCAGTGTACCCTATGTACACGAAAACTAACAGAACGGTTTGTTCATATGCCTACAGCAAAGGTTTGGATACTTTACTACTATCTGTCTTTGGATCCGATGACAATATGGGCAAGAATGAGTTAACTTTAGTTAAGCTAAATTGCTATTAGGTGGGATAGTCCAAGACTGTCTTAAAATAGTTAAAAAAACATCAGCCTACAGTATTTACACGTCTCCCTGCTAGGAAAAGTTATCCTCTCATTTCTGAAAGGGTTACGGAAGAATTAGATCGCCTTCACCGACGATTCTACTACTATAACCCCGATTCTGAGTTTGGGTTCCAGCGAGCTTCATCCCTTGATACCCGCAAAACGTGCATAATATATTTTTTGTAGAATATGTGCGACAATCGAGAATACAGTACACCTAATGGTAATTGAATGCTTTGGTCTATAGATATTTACATCTATCCAGAATTAAGAATCAAAATGCATATGCTTTTTCACCCCTGAGTTTATGATGGATGGATTATGATGTCTCGGTTTCAGAAAGAAGGGACTCTGGTTCTTTACTCAGCATACGAAACACGGCAGCATTAACCTATTTTACGCTGGTATTCTATGAGAGTGTGGTCCTTTCTCGACTGAGCCAACCCATTCGTGCTACATCTATAATATAGCTGCAGCATGGCTCTACAACGTACAATTTGTATATTGCTATAATTTGTATAACATCAGACGTAAAAATCTTACATAAAGATATGTTAGAATTAATTCTCAAAAGTTTTTTATCCTACACTCGCAAACTAGGGCGCTTATACGCTACATATCCTGGTAATGACACCCGGGTAATGACTGCAGATAGTATCTTAATGATAGTGCGCGCTCACTTGTGTCATTACATTGAATAGTCAGTCTACGACCAATTCGACCGTACTTAGCTATCTATTTTCGGTTTTGTAAGTTCTGTTACATTAGGTAATTATTTTAATATAGTAGTTTATTAAAGTACAAAAAAGTATCGAAAGCTTACAACACGCGTAAGTAGTTTTTCGTTGTGTTGATTATTTCTGATATTTTCTAAAGTTTAAGTTTCAGTATTAAATTTTTCTAATACATCACCTCCACAATAGGTTTTTTTTTCTGGGGGCAGTTTACATACATACATTTTGCAAGAACAAACATCCAGACCCGGAACAATTATTTGTAGGCTAAAGAAATACTTGTTCTGTGCGAGATTCGAACCCGCGGCCCTTAGCACTGCAACGCATTGCTAAGCCATATTGTTAACAAAATTATGTAACATTTTTCAATAATAATAATTAAAAAATAGCCCCCATCCATCAAATCCGTACCGTCTGATAAGGAACTTCGTTCTAATGTTCAATGAGCTATGGATTTCTTTACCTGAAAATGGGAAGTCGAGAAAAAAAATTGTTTCTACCGTTTACATTTAAGTAAAATACACTATCATCACCACCATCATCGTTACAGCCTATTAAAACCCACTACTGAACATAGTTTTCCCCCATAGATTTCCTCATATGTTGATATTTTTATTTTGAGTTATCACTAAGATGTTGCTCCCACTTTTCTTATGAGTTTCTCTCTGTCACCTCTTATGATATTCACGCGGGATCATAATACCCCATTATTAGATTATTTTACGCCTCTTTTAAACGACACTGAATGTGTACAAAACGGCAATGACGATAAATGATACGAAGTATTTAATATATGTAGTACAGCCCTTCGATTGTTGACAAAAATACAGTCAAGTATATTATTTTTTATTTATATGAGAGGGGGCAAACGAGCATACACCTCACCTGATGGTAAGTGACTATCGCCGCCCATGAACAAATGCAACACCAAGGGAATTGTAGGTGCGTTGCCGGCCTTTTTAAAGAAGTAGCTCTTTCCTTGAAGGTCCCTAAGTCGTATCGGTCCGGAAAAATCGCCGGTGGTAAATTATTCCACAGAAAGATCGTACGCGGAAGAAAACTGCTAGTGATACGTACAGTGGTGGACCGCCAAGCATTCGGATGGTGTGGATGGTATCGGGAGTTTTGCCCCGATATGCTTTCGTGAATTTTAGCGGCTGCGGTTAATAGATATCTCTAATAGATAATCTCTTCGCAGCGCCAGTGAATCGTGCCGATCGGTAAGGACTCGGTCGTCGACGATACAAGCCGCTCTGCGCTAGATGCGTTCAAGTGGAAAGAGCTGGCACTGGGGAGCCCCAGCCCAGAAATGGTAACAGTATTCCATGTGCGGCCGAACCTGCGCCTTGTAAAGTTGCAGGCGGTATGCCGGCCCGAAATACTGTCCCGCTCTGCTGAGGACACCAAGCTTTTTAGAGGCCAATTGGTTTTCTCTTCTAAGTGACCACAAAACTGCACTTCACTCAATATGTCGACGCCGAGGATTTCGAGACTGGCTGAGGCGCCCTCAATCCGAGACTTTGTTCAGCAAAGACTCGACTGTGTCTGAAACACAAGTTTGTTCCGGTACACGGCGACGTTTTCCCGAGAAATATTGGCACGGCGGGTGTATAGAGCATTACCAGTGCTGTCATCCACATAGCAAAGCAAGTTACCGCTTCGCAACATACCATTGATATGCAGAAGAAACAGCGTTGATGATACCACGCAACCTTGTGGAACTCCAGCATGAATATGCTTGTAGTCAGAGCATGCACCGACTATAACGAGCTTGATGCTCCTATCTGCAAGAAAGCTAATGATCCAATTGCACAATTTCTCGGGAAGCCCATAGGAAGGAAGCTTCAAAAGAAGCTCTTTGTGCCAAACCCGATCAAAGGCCTTCGCCATGTCCACGGCCAATTCCTCCCCCTTGGACTCAACTGTCTCCGCCCATCTAATAGTTTTATCATATTTTTTGTTTTACTTTTAGTATCTTGATTTTAAAGCATTCATTAATTACAACCTACCAACTAAATAATGCCTCTGTTTGGATTCCACTGGACTTCTTCTGGACGCCGTAAGGTAGCGGCCTAAAAGAATACACACAATTTGATTTCACTTGTTTCTTATATATCTTTAGCTAAGAATGCTAGGCCCACACTGCAGCTGTATTATGTGAGCACAAATATCTTGACTATATTACAACACCAATGGATTACCGCCAACTTTTAAAAATAATTTTCGGTCCGATCTACGCAAGCTACTTAAAACTTACAGTGCCTTGAGTTTTTTAGGTGGTATGTTGGGCAATATCCTACCGAGCGATTCTAAATGTTATCACAAACTACCTACTTCTTATGTCCAAATACTCAAATGCGGCGTTTTTCATATTCATAAATATTTTATAAAATCGATAGATTAGGTTTATTCAATGTGTAGTATACACTAATGTGTAGCATTTGAAACGGATTAATTTGTCAATTCATTGCGTAATTATTATCTCGGGCATGTTGCGAAGTTAATTTAAATCAAAATATTATCGGTATACCAAGACACTAATATTCGATACCGTCCTGGACGTGATTACACTCTAATGTGATATTACACACGAACCAATGCACTGTGATGACCAAATTTTGCGGGGTCCCGAATTTCCATTCAAAGTATACATTATGGAACTATTTCGGAACGCTGAATGGCCCTTTATGTTTGAGTAACGTTATGTGTAATGAATTTTGATTCGTCATTGTGTCTTATAGACCTGAATAGTATTACAAATCTCATACAGGAATATTAAACGCCCTACTGCATAATGGGACATTACTTTATAAGCACACTTGTGTAATTGAATCATCATTTCTTATTCAGTAATACAATTTCAATTACCAAGATGTTATATATTACATTATCATTGGCATTTGAACAAATATAAAAGGTAGAAAAAGATACTTATACTTATCCCTTACTCTGAGCTCTTTTAAAGACTGTTGATTATTTGAAAATTTTATGTGTAGTAAAGTGCATTGTTTTTCTTTTCTTTTTCAAGCATATTAAAGATGATTTTAATATCCTGTAGGTCCCGGATTTTGGGGCCTAATAAATCCACAATGGAGTATGTGCAACAAGGGAAGGAGACAAAGCCCTGTCAATGTCGAACCAGAGAAGCTGCTATTTGATCCCTGGCTGAGGGATATACAGTTCGATAAACACAAGGTAATTTTTATCTCTGTAAAAATATTATGATAATATTAATCATACACTTCATAAACACAATCCATTACAAGGCCATTGCTGAACATAAACCTCCAACAAGGAAAGCAGCAAAACACGATTATGAGGCACCTGCATCCATCGACTTTCAGCACGTCTTACCAGAACGTCATTTCAACTAGTGAAAGAACGCCCACCCTCTCGCCATTCGAGAATATTACTTGGTTTTGCTTTTTCTACCGACTTCCAATAAAGAGACGGTACTCATTCGTCCGTATGTTTATTTTTCTTTTTTTATGTGTGTTATCTCGCAACTTTTTACTGGGTGAACCGATTTCTTTTTTTCGATTGTTTTTTTATTTGAAAGCTGATACTTCTCGTGTGATCCCATATGAATTTGATCAAGGTCAGACCAATAGTTATTGGGTTATTCTAAATAACTTATATTGAAGTCGGCTGTATAAAATTTTTAATTTTAAATTATTCGTCTATAAGTATTTTCCTTTTTTTTTCAAACATCATAGGAATATTATACAATTGGCCTGTAAAAATGACAAAAAATAGAAGACCTGCGAAATGTGTTTTGCCATTTTTAGGGTTCCGTATCCGACGGGTAATAAACAGGACCCTATTACTAAGCCTCTGCTGTCCGTCCGTTCATCCGTCCGTGCTGTATCTCATGATCTGTAATAGGTAGACTGTTGAAATTTTCACAGTATTTCACACTATAACAACAAATAATAAAAACAAAAATAAATTAACAATTAAAGAGGACACCCCTACTAGAAGAAGAAACGTGTTTTACGATGGTACTGAACCCTTCATGCGCGAGTTCGACTCACACTTGGCCGGTTACTTTTTCCTAACAGAAGACCCTCATTTCAAATTGGTTGTATATTGAAAATCAGGTTGACGTTCGAGAAAATAATTTTTTAATTTATTACGTCGATAAATAACGAGATTACATTTTCAATTTGTTTCCGGTTATGGTACGTTGTTGGTTCTTTGAGCTACGTAATAGCTAATACCGTAAAGTAGCAATGGAAACATAAGATATTATTATAATAACGCCTGGGAATGAGTTGATTTGCCAAGTTATTTCTAAATATGTAATTTTTAATTATTGATTTTGTATAGTGTATAACATAGTAAGTTATTATTACAAATCGGTTCTCTTGTTGAGTATTCACAGAAAAGAGGCTTTTCTAGACCAGTGTTAAAATCTTAAATGGCTTCCAATTATTGTTTTTAAAACGTTTAGTGGTGGTGTAAGAATACTATGGTGGAATATCCCATATGTCTCTCTCACTATAAGGATCAGCGTTAAAAGGGAGAAGAGAGGAGAAGTAGCGTCGAAGGGCGCTTCGCATCTTTGGCGCAGTTTCCCGTCGCCAGTCGGAGTATTTCACGCTTGGCGTTAAAGAGATGATTTGACCACTATTTATCAGAAGCCAAAAGATTTTTGGTATATCCCACAGAAGGCTAGTACGCCCATGAGTAACGGCACTTATATAATAACATACTTTATATTCAATATTTCTTATTGATATATATTTTTTTATGTTTGAAAATGAAATTCACTTTGTACATAGGTAACATTTAAAATAAATTTCAATTTTATGCTTGATTCCGATTCCATCATTAATGCATAATATAGTTTGTACGTCAACAGCTCTGTGAGTCGACATATCAAAATATACATTTTGTATTGCAAAACGAATTAAAATTTAAAATTTCACGCGCAACCCGTTAACAGAACGTTGGAAATCAGAGTAAGCCGGTAAAATGGGCGAATTAACATTGCAGTGGGCTCGCCGCCATAATCTCATGCTAAAACATGGTAAGCTAGCTGTGATAGACTCGACGCTTTGCAATACTCGTATATATGTACACGCCTTTTACTTACTGAAAGAGACATGCTAGTACCGTGAGATATATAAGTAATGAAAGTCTCGCTGCAAAAAAATCTACCTACATATTTGTTTTTCCTAACCTGCCAGCATATCCGTGTTTATAAATTAAAAAAATATATATTTTTACATTTTTAGTCTAAGATGATTTTGTTGCTTAAATGGTAGATGAATTATCAGATTATACGCGCTATGTTTTTGCTTCATTTTAAACAAAATTTTATATGAATAAAAAAAGCATTGCAAAAATATACTTACTTTACTGTATAGGGTTATTTTTAAAACGCTTTTACTTTTATTTGAAATTATTCCAAATTGAATCTGATTTATGGGCAGCAACTACGCGTTCGCGCACTCCTCTGTGTGCGATTCAATTCACAACGTTTTTGTCGACCTATCGACCCTTATCTACGAATGTGTGCGGGCGCAGTAAAATCATTTAAAATAATTTTGAATTAAAAAGATAAGAAGGACAGAATATTTGAGATTTTCTTCACCATTTGCCTATATTACTTTTTCTGAACCTTCTCTGCAAATTTGATCGGTTATTGCAAAATGACCCTGTATGCATAAACCAAATATACCTAATACGTTCCTAATTTCCCTTATACATGAAAATGCATATTATCGTTTTTAAGGAAACAGTGATATAATAATTAAGATTTTTAAATAATAATAATAAATTTGCCGGAATGTTATTAATTAAATTTTATATTACCACTGTCTCCACGGGGAATTAAGTCACTGCTTCAATAAATATTTAGATTCCAAGATTTCTTGAGAGACTCAATATGTGAAGTAATTTTTAAATCCGGTCTTTTCCTCTAGTTCTGACCACAATTTGTAGTCTAACTTATTCAGATCTGAACATCTGAAACACTGGTCAAGTCAGGTTTGAGTTGTTCGTGTCTTGTGACCAGACCAGGAGTAGAGTCTTGCTGAAAACTTGGAAGTCCACACTATTTTTTTGAAAAGTGTATCACTAAGTGGATTTAATACACGATCTAAGGCAGTATCTCGATAAACTTTGCCCAAAGTCATTACTTTTGTTCATAACATTTTAGGTATGTGTTATAGTTAGTAATGTAAGATGATGTCCGCGTTGAACTTTTCTAATAAGATGCGAGTTTCCTTTTAGAACTTTTTTTTCCTATTTAAAAAAATATAGTTTTTTTTTATAGGAGAGGGGGCAAACGAGCATGCGGCTCACCTGATGGTAAGTGACTACCGCCGCCCATGAACAACTGCAACACCAGGGGAACCAGGGGAATTGCAGATGCGTTGCCGCCTTTTTAAAAAGGAGTAGGCTCTTTTCTTGAAGGTCCCTAAGTCGTATCCCTAAGTTTCCGCAACACTAGAATTTTCTCCTGTATCGTGAAGGCATCTTACATACATACATTGCACAAGGACAAACATTTAAACCCGGAACAATTACTAGTAGGTCATACATATACTTGTTCCGTGTGGAATTCGAACCCGTGGCCCTTAAAGCCAGATCTCATTGCTAAGCCACTGCGCCACAGAACCGTCGTTCAGTGAGCGTATAGTTTGTCACTCTGTCTATTGTAGTGTTCTTCAATCGTAACTTTTCACCTGTAAAGAACTATTACGACAGCAATCATAATGATCAGTCTACTATACTAAGCTGCAGGGACAGACTTTCCTTTTAAAATTTTAATAAACTGTTACTTTTAAATTACCTCGACACCGAAATTTGTACTTTAGAAAATTATTCCATAAATTCACCGCTATTTTAGTTTCAACGCTAGTGGTTTCCTTCCAGATTTATATAGAAATAGTTCGTTAGTTAGAAATTTTATCTATTGCCTTTTTAAACACATATATAAATAAACCAAATGAATATTCTAAATGGTGCGACCCGTGCGTAATTATTCATTTAAACTGAATTACAGCGCCGTAATGCCATGCTAATATATGCGAAGTGCGATAGACTATCGCGTCGGCTATCAGAGCGTTTTTGCGACATACTCGTATGTTGTTAGTCCTATGCTGCCAGCACCGAGGGCGCTTTCGTTTTTGCTACCTTATGCGACGTTTCACGTCCTTTGCAATTCTAATTACATTACCTACGCCTAATTCACCATGTAATATGTAATGCCTTGACCGCTTTAGATAAGGACTTTATTTGAAAGTAAGAAAAACTAATAGTGAGATTCATACCTAGTATACAAACATTGATTATATGCCTTTTTATTAGATAGATTTTTCGGACCGATACGACTTAGGGACCTTCAAGAAAAAGCTACTCCTTTTTAAAAAGCCGGCAACGCATCTGCAATTCCCCTGGTGTTGCAGTTGTTCATGGGCGGCGGTTATCACTTACCATCAGGAGAGCCGCATGCTCATTTGCCCCCTCTCCTATAAAAAAAAGACAATAGTAGTGCCGTAATGCGTTGTAATGTCTTTTCTTGACAAAAATATTTGCAGGAGCGCACACAAAACCTCACTAAAATTTAATATTAACCAGTTTTATGGTATAGCAACGCATAGAAAAAGTACAAAAATATAAACAATATACTATAGAGGAGTATGTTAGGGATGAATCTGAATGACAGAGTGAGAAATTGTTTAATAAGAAAAGAGTGTGGTTTGCAAGATGATGTTATGACCAGGATTAAGAAAGGAATGCTTCGATGGTTTGGTCATGTAGAAAGAATGAATGAGGAAAGAGTGACAAAGCAAGTTTATGTTGCAGAGGTGAACGGCAGAGTCGGGAAGGGTCACCCTAGGCGAAAGTTTATCGACCAAATTGGGGATATATTGAAAATGGGCCAAATTAAGAGTACCTTTAACCGACGAGCGTGTATGCGTAGGTATATGGATGTGGAGGAAGCGAGAGAGGTGTGTCAGGATCGTGCCAAATGGAAGTCCATACTCACTGCCTACCCCTCTTGGTTACAGGCGTGAGTGTATATATATAGTATATATATATATATATATACTATATATTATAATAAGCCTATAAAAGTTCACTGCTGAACATAGGCCTCCCACATAGATTGCCTCATAGGGGGGATTTTGCCATAATCGACATGCTTGACGAGCGGGTTGTCAACCGCAGTTTTTTTTATGATTTTGTGTTGTTATCAGGAAGATGCTGCTGCCCATCACCTGTTTCATTTTCCCTCTGTCGTCGTTTACGAAACTCACAGGACGATATGGGGTAGTGGATATTCTTACACCGCCACTTACGTAACACTAACTCGTCATAGTGTCATCGTGGTATAGCTCTGTTTTCTCTCAGTCCAACGATACCCACGGAATAACGATATTATACATAATCAATTTTCATCCCGAACAGTAAATCCATTTTAAATGATTTGTCCTCCCCTTTCTACCTTAAAGAAAAATTTCTTTTCCTTTCCTCCAACCACGACAAGGTACTTCGCTCTTCAACTAATCTGAAGATTTCAGTTCCACTCCATTTTACTGGCTTTATTGGCAATTATTTTACTGTACAGGCTACACTACTCTGGAACTCCTTACCTGAAAACATTAAGAAAGCACCAAATAAGATAGCCTTCAAAGATTGGTCCGGAAACATCTCTCGAAAACAATGTTGTCAGCATAATACCAATACTACAATATTTATTTATGTGTGTGTATATGTATATATGTATTTATGTATGTATACATGTTTATATGTGTTAATGATAATTGTTATATATGGATTATTATGTGTTTGTTTGTATTCATATGCATTTGTGTAATTTATACTTAAGCCTTATATTAATAGATATTATATCAATATAAATTTATTATATTGAGTTACTTAAGTCCCCTGCCACTAATTTCTCACCACGCCATGGGTTGACTGGCAGAGAATGCTAACTGGAATTAAGTTTGCCCTTTGTAACCTTTTTATTGGTTAGTACAATAAAGTTTTTAAATAAACATTAAATTAAATAAATAAAGGTATAACAAATAAATCAATATTTACACAAAAAAACCAATACGTATATATTTTTTATTTGTCTACAAGTGTGATGTAATAATTCGTAAAGTTTCCAAATTATCAAAGCAAGTTCTTGTTACACGATTGCGTGTCAGCGCGTAATATGTCATCTCCACTCAAAGCGCACAAAGTCTCTAATCAAGGTGGGACCATTGATTGATAGGATCGCCACCCCGCGGTGAAACTACTCGTTTCACACTCTGATTCATTCGATGTAGCACGCCTTAATCAATTTGAATTGATGTAAAAAAACAGAATAAAAAATCCATTAACATGGAACCCGAGTTCAGAATTTATTCTAATGATAATTCAACTTTTGAAGAGGTGAATTGGGTTTCTCTATGGTAACTATACTAATGATACTTACCTTTTTCTTTTTCATTGGCCCTTTAAACCTCTGACTTGCCTAAATAGCTATGCTTTGCCACCGGTACTCGCAGTATCATACTGTCGACTACAGTTTCGGAACCCATGAGGTCCTTCAGGTCTTTGCCATGGTCGCTTCTGACGACAAATACAGTAAAAAAGCTTCTCTTCCTATAATTGACATTCATTTCCTATTCTCACCAACACAAAATGACTCCTAGAAAGTAGTTCTAGTCAGGAAAAAATCGCTATTTAATGATTTACGTCTGTGATTAAAATGTCTATTTCAGAAACTAAACTGAAGGGGAAAAAATGTCTATTCCATAAAGACCGTTATAATGGCGTAATAAAAACAATTTTGTGCCTTTGACTACGTTTTTCTTTGTTACGTAATGGTTTTCTACAACTATCTTTTTTCCATTTGATAATACGTATATTTTGTAAGTGATGACGGTCCACTTTTAAAAAAATGAAAGTGTGAAAGAATGATTAATTGATAGAGAATTTTGATGTGACACAGACTTTACTCGGTGTTATAAACGGTCGATAGTCGACGTTTATGAATGCTAGAAAGTTCTAATATCCCCCGATAGATGGCGGTATATCCATACACAAAATACCCAACTCGGTGACGGATAGCAACATCGAAGGTGCGAGATGTATGGTGCTGGGATCCTCAATCCTCCTACCAAGTTTTTTAAGGTAAATCCTCCCCACAACGGTAGAGGCACATGTCCAGCAGAGGACTTCGACTTCATGGTGTTAATAGAATCAGGCGTTACTTTGCGGAAGTACATTATACTAAAGTTGGAAAAATATTACTTCGCGTACATCCGCTCGATAAAATATAATGATGTGTCTTACCTAGTTTGAAGAGCACCTCCCGCCCTCCCTCCCTCAATTGCGTGCACTATCAACGTCACCACTAATCCCAGCACCACTACTCCCAACACCACTAAACTAGGAAAGACACACCACTGACTACAATAAAATACAATCATGGTGTTACTTAAATATAAGCTAATAGTTAAAAATATTTTTATTGCTTTGTACATAGGTGAGCGGCATTCTACAAAACACGGGCCAATCTTTAGTCTTTCGGGTTGACAAGGATTCGAAACACCAAGTGAACATCAGCGGCGGACCTCTTTCCTATCGGTATCAGTTCGAGGAGATTTACTTCCACTATGGGCTTGAGGATCATCGAGGATCGGAGCATCAGATCGACCATCACACGTTTCCTGGAGAGGTTTGTATGTTTAAATATAATATTTCGTAATCTTAATCAGATATTTAATTTTAAGAAATTAATTTCGGTCCACTAAGAGATGAAGCTAACTCAAACACAAGCTTACCACTAACATTAAAAAAAAAAAACAAGGAAGTAGTTCACAGCTAATTAAGAGTTATAATATATCTAAGCAATTGGCAATTTGTTCTGAAGTTATGTGAAGGCAGCGTAAAAGAATACTATGTCGTTCTGCTGATTTCGTAAAGACGATTATAAAAATGCCAGAAGGATCTAGTACTTTCTAGCATTTCTCATAGTTGCCTTGTGCATAACCATCTCGTATATAGCAGATATAGATATATATTAGATATATATTTTAACAGCGGTAGAGCCACGCGACAGCTTTTGCTGTCGCACGGATGGGCTGGCTCGAACCGGGGTCGTACCACGACCTCACAGCAAACCAGCGTGAAGTAGAGGTTTACCTCTGCGTTTCGCTTGGTGAGTGCAGGTGGCCGGAGGCCCTTTTTACTGGAAATGAGGCATTCCATCTAAGTCCTCACGGGTGACAACGGATCTACATTTTGATTTGTAATAGATAGATGTAGATGTCTATGGGCCGCAGCAACCACTTACCATCAGGTGGACTGTGTGCTCGTTTGTCACCCTTATCCTATAAAAAAAAATATAAAGGAACCAGACGAAGGCGGGGAGCGTCAAAGCAGCAAGTTTTTTAGTACTGCGATCGCCAACTTGTCTACTAAACTTGGCGATCCTGACAAATCCTATCTACTACTCAAGAAGATCCCATCCAGCAGTAAGCTGATATGGCCTAAAAACTTACCAAAATATATTACGTATGTAGTCTCTACATAGTATAAAACAAAGTCATTTCCCACCGTCTGTACGCTTAGATCTTTTAAACAACGCAACGGATTTTGATGCAATTTTCAGCAATAGACACAATAATTTAAGGCAAAAGTTTATGTGTATAGGTTATGCATATTATATATTTCTTCTATCCGTGTGTATGTGACTGAACTCCTCCTAAACGGCTGGACCGATTTTGATGAGATTTTGTGTGTGTGATTAAGTTGATTAGAGAATAGTTTATATTCACATTTGGACCTGGTAGGTGGCAAACGTGAATCTAAACAATTTTTGTTGAAATTTAGAAATTGTGCGAAGCCGGAGCGGATCGCTATTTGATGGATAAATAATTGTTTTTAAATGGGCAGGCAAGGGTAATACTTGTCAGTACTTTGTTACAAGTTTTGCGATAAGTTTATAAAGTACTGTATTTCATCACCATTATCATTACATCTTATAAAACATCACTGCTGAACATAGGCTTCCCCTATAGATTGCTCCTTAGAGGCGATATTTGCCTTAATTGCGACGCTTGGCAGGCTGGCATCCGCAGATTTTTTATTATCTTGATTTGTTGTCAGGAAGATATCGCTGCTCATATTTTAGTTTCTATATGTCACCTCTTATAACACCCACGTGATGATATGGTGTACTGGATTCGCCACTCTACGCGATAAATGTTCTATTAGTAGTAGTATTTCACCTGTGTTCAGTTATAATATTTATACATTTGTCTAAAAATTGTTACAATATTCCCTTCGCTCCACAACCAATCCTCGTATTAGTAACTATCTTATTTGTTTTCGCAAAAGTTTTCACCGCCCAACTTGTGGCTATTGTAAAAGTGAGATTTGAATCAGGTGAGCCGCATGCACGTTTATAGATATATATATATATCATCATCATCATCATTACAGCCCTTCACAAGTCCACTGCTGAACATAGGCCTCCCCCAAAGAATGCCACAAAGCACGGTCCTGAGCCACCTGCATCCATCGACTTCCTGCATATCTTACCAGGTCGTCACTCCATCTAGTGGGGGGACGCCCTACACTTCGCCTGCCGGTACGAGGCTGCCACTCGAGAACCTTTCTTCCCCATCGGTTGTCGGTTCTTCGAGCTATATGGCCGGCCCATTGCCACTTCAGCTTACTAATCCGTTGGGCTATGTCGGTCACTCTAGTTCTACTGCGGATATCCTCATTTCTGAGTTTATCACGCAGGGAAACTCCGAGCATAGCCCTCTCCATAGCTCGCTGAGCGACCTTGAGCTTCCTCATCCGGCCAGCAGTGAAGGACCACGTCTCAGTTCCGTATGTCATCACTGGCAACACGCACTGGGTGTACAGTCTCGTTTTCAAGTTTTGAGGTATACCTGACGAGAAGATGTGTCGTAGCTTCCCGAACGCTGCCCAGCCGAGTTGAATCCGTCGATTGACCTCTCGGTCGAAGTTGGACTTACCTAGTCGGACTATTTGTCCCAGGTAAACATACTCGTCAACAACTTCGAGCTTAGTGTTCCCAACAACTACCGGCATAGGTGTGACATGGACATTAAACATGATCTTTGTTTTGTCCATGTTCATCTTAAGACCTATCCGTTGGGAAACACTATTGAGGTCATTGAGCATAGTGCTTAGGTCCTCCAGCGATTCTGCCATAAGGACTATATCGTCGGCAAATCGAAGGTGAGTGATGTACTCGCCATTGATGTTTATACCGTATCCTTTCCAGTCCAGAAGCTTGAAAACATCTTCCAATGCAGCGGTAAAGAGTTTCGGGGATATGACGTCACCCTGTCTTACACCTCTCTGCAATTGGATAGGTTTCGTACTCTGGTTCTGTACTCGGATAGCCATCGTAGCCCTACTGTACAAGCACTTCAACACTTCGATATACCGACAGTCAACTTGGCATCGCTGAAGGGACTGCAGCACCGCCCAAATTTCGACGGAATCAAAGGCTTTCTCATAGTCCACATACGCCAGACATAGTGGCAAATTGTACTCCTCGGACTTCTGTACAATTTGCCGAAGGGTATGTATGTGGTCTATGGTGCTAAAGCCTTTTCGGAAACCGGCTTGTTCGGGAGGCTGGAAGTCGTCAAGTCTGCGCGCGAGACGATTCGTAATGACTCTCGAAAACAGCACGTAGACGCGGCTCAGAAGGGATATCGGTCTGTAGTTCTTCAAGAGAGCGTTGTCGCCTTTCTTGAAGAACAAGACCACCGCACTTCTGCTCCACGCCTCCGGTGTAATGCCACCATGGAGGACGGAATTAAAGAGCTTCTGAAGGACTTCAAGTACCGGTTTTCCACCCGCTTTCAGAAGCTCCGCTGTAATTCCATCCTCGCCTGGGGCCTTGCCGTTTTTAAGGTGCTGGAGAGCCATTCTAATCTCGCTCAGACTGACGTCCGGGATATCAACGGAATAATGTCGGATAAGACTCGCTCTTGGATCGTTACTCACACTTGCGTGCGGCTCCAACGATGACGTGTACAGCTGCCCATAGAACCTCTCAATCTCACTCAAAATCTCAGGTGCCCCGGAAACGATGCTGCCACATTCTGTCTTCAGCTTTGACAGTTGGCGCTTTCTGGCAGACAGATCTCTGGCAAAGACTTTGGAGCCTTGGTTCCGCTCGATCGCTTCTTCAATACGAGCTGTATTGAAGTTGCGTAAGTCCCGCCGCATGCATTTGGAGATCTGTCTGTTCAGTTTCCTGTATGCTGTTAAATCTGTTGAAGAATGTAGCTTCATCTCCCGTCTAACAGCCATGAGATTAAGAGTGTGATCGGAGAGTTTTTGTGTTCTTCTGCGGCGGGTCTTGCAGAATTTAGCTCCGACCGCATGGACAGTTTCCACGAGCTTGTCATTCAAATCGTCTACTTCATTGCAGTCTTCTAGGCACTGAAAACGGTTTTGTAACTCGAGCTGAAAGGTTTCGGGACTTTGGATTAGAGCACGAGGGGGACGGAGCGTTGACTTCATTAGACGAGACCTCTCCAACTTAACGTTTAGGTTCAGTGTGCCTCTAACCATTCGGTGATCGCTGCCGGTTTTCACCCTCGCGATCACTGAGACATCACTGAACAGTTGTCGTCTGGTCGTCATAATGAAGTCAATCTCATTTTTTGTCGAACCGTCGGGGCTCGACCAGGTCCACTTTCTGTGGGGCCGCTTCTGGAAGAAAGAGTTCATCATAAAGAGTCCCTCTTTCTCCATAAAGTCAGCCAACTGCTGGCCCCTTGGGTTCCGTTGCCCTATTCCAAATTTCCCTACTTTCAGCTCACCGTTCTCTCTTGCGCCTAGTTTTGCATTGAAGTCTCCCATTAACACCGTATATTGGGTTTTGGAGGAATGCATGGCTCTAGAGATATCCTCATACATTTCCTCCACCTCCTGATCGGGGTGTGCCGAGGTTGGTGCGTAAACCTGTATGACCTTCAGCGAATACCGTTTGGTGATTCCGAGTATAAGGTACGCAACCCTCGTCGACACACTCTCGATCTTTACAACGTTGTTAACGAGAGACTTGTGGACGATAAATCCGACACCTCCTTGGGACAGTTGGTCGCCCTCCCGGTAATAGAGCAAGTTGCCGGATTCGAGGATTACCGTGTCCTCCCCCTCTCTTCGGACTTCGGATAATCCTATAATATGCCAGCGTAACTTGTCTATCTCTTCTTCCAGCTCCACAATCTTCTCGTCAGTCCTCAGGGTGCGTGCGTTGTATGTTGCCAGGTCGAGTCGTCGTAGGTGGCAACCGAACCTCCACCGGAGATTCTTAGCACCCCCTGCCCCGCCGTTACCATGGTCGCCACCGTAGCCAGGAATAGCGGGGCCGCCGGGGACTGGGGGCCGTTTATTATTGTCATTGCTCATGGGGGGTATATTGCCATAGTTGCCACGCTTGGCGAGCGGGTTGGCAACCGCAGTTTTTTTATTGTTATTTTGGCTATTATCAGGAAGATGCTGCTGCCCATCTCCTGCCTGTTTCCCTTTGTCGCCTTTTACGACACCCACGGGAAGATATGGGGTAGTGGATATTCTTAACCGCCACTACACGGCAATATATATATATATATATTATATATATATATATATATATATATATATATAAGATACACTTAGAAATTCGTATTGTGA